AAAAACAAACTATCACAAAATGTCAATTTTTTCAATTACTGTTCAGTTTCTTAGCTTGTATCCTCGCATGTTTTACACCTTCTTACATGAGCTCTTTATCTCACATTTAAAGGGGGGATAGCACGTGCTGGACATTAGGTGTGGCTCTATGTAAAGCCTTAAAGGTGTAAAATGCAAGTGGAGTTCAGATTTTCTGCCAATAATAGCATACTACATTAATACAAACTGCATTTTTTTGTGTAGTCAGTGAGAAGAGCAGGACAAAATATTCTGATGTCAGTGTATTGTATCACTTTCTCTTGTGATAAATGCCTGCTTTTGGTCTTTAATGAGCATTTTTCTACGTAGATATTATTGTGTATGGAGGTGATTATTTTACAAAGTATTGCCAAATCACTGTATCATCATTGTCTGGGGTTATAGTATCATATCTGGAGGTTGGGATCTTCATAATGAGTTACAAGATCTACCTGAGAAGTCATTAAAATGCAAGCAGAGCAGCAATTATTTAAAAAAAAAAAATCCTTTATCTTGCTTCAGGCTTTTCTTGAATTTCTGCTTTTTTCAAGTGATAATTAAATCAAATTAAATTCTTAAGGCATCTAAAAGTAAAACACATTTCTTCAACCACACTTGTCAGAAGGCTGTACGTGTATGTATCCAGTGATGAGGAACACAAGTGGATGTTTGTATTTGTTTTAGGAAGTCACAAGCAAAAAAAAAAAAAAGGATTACATTGAGCGTTTTCCTGTAGGAGTCAGTTGACTAACAGCCTCGCTGGCAGTTTGATGTGACAATGTCCTCACTCTTGACTTTCTTCTGTTTATGAAAATTGACCCTTTTGCCCTGAGAAATATGCTTACATCAGACAAACCTTGAATCTGTTACATTCTGGCGGTCAAGCGTCATAACTCAGGCGTAGATTTCATGTCAGCAGAAAATATATCATTAAAGCCACTAATGTAAACACTGTCCACCCCTGCCATGAGGAATTACGCTAAAAATGTGCTGAGAGGTCATTAATAATGCTCGCTCATATGCATAATCAATGTCTTGTTGGTTCTTTCGCCTTCCTTTTCCTGCAGGAGAGATGAGGAACGACCTTTACATCACACTGGAGAAAGGGGAGTTCGAGAAAGGCGGGAAGAGTGTGGCGAGGAACGTGGAAATCACCGTCTATGTGCTGGACATTGATGGACAGATCCTCAAGGTGAAGACACATGTGGCTTTTCCTACTCCTGTAGCAGACTGATGTTTGTTGTCATTAGGAGAATAGATTATTTACAGATACTAAATGCTCTTTAAGGATAGCAAATGCCTTATTTAAGCCCTTAGTTAACCCTGTTTTTTCTTATTAGTGGCTGTCTTATTTTGGAGCAAAACTCTTCAATTAAACATGGCTGACCCAGATGAGAGCTAAGTGTCTCTCCAGTGTGCTGCCCATTTCTGGTGCAGCAGTGTGACAGTCTGCCTCTGTGGTTTCCTGCGCTGCCTCGGCCTTGGATAGAAAATAGAGTCAAATATAACCCTGCTGCCACCACATGGCACGCCACCCTCAAACACACATAAACTCACATGTTAAACCTCGTCGTCCTCACTTTATTGCCATTTGTTGGGTGTGGACGGTTTACAATTCATTCATATCGTCTCTCTCTGGCATATTAAAGAGCCCCCATTATGCTTTTTGGGTTCTTCCCTTTGCTTTAGTGCGTTATAGCTTTTTTTTTTGTGCATGTAAAATGTCTGCAAACTTCCAAAGATGGAAATCCAAGCCAAAGGAAGTTAGACAACTCTGTTCCTTACCTGCCTGGAACAGCTCGTTTCAAGCCCAGGCTTTTCTTTTGTTACTTGTTTACATCATCATGTCACACATTTCCATCATGCCTGCTTGGTGGCTAGTTTGGCGAGCCACTAAAAATCAAGTTTCCTCGCAGATACTTCGACGTTGTTCCCTCACTAGAGCCACGTCTGCTAGGACCACATCCCTACCTGTACTTGTAGATCTGGGGTTTACCCAACTATCTTCGATCTAAATGGCCAGTAAGAGCAGACAGGTGTTTTAGGGAGAAGGGCCTTAAAGAGACAGGAGCTAGCATGGAGCGTTTCAGACAGAGGGTGAGAAGAGGTGCTATGAAGTTGTACTTTATGAGGAAAAAACACATACTCTTTAACCCTCTCAATCCCAAGCAGTTTCTAGTCTTTTTTTTTTTCTCCTGTCACATTTTGACTCACTGTGGGTTCATTTTTCGCTGCAAAATAGAACCCTGCAACTTTTATAAAATGGCACAACCATAGCTAGAAGTAGAGAGAACTCAAAAATGTCTGTTGTACATCATGACACCATTAGAATGTTAATAGTTATTTAAAAAAAACACGAAAGTTTAATTTCTTTGATTAATTGTTGATCACAAAAAGAATAATTTTTCAGGAGTCAGCATGTCGGACATTTTTTTTAAGTGGCCATAAGTGTTCCCAATACTGGGAAAAAAATGTTGACTCTACATGCTGTAGATATTTAGCGACTATTTAATTTGTTTTTATACTGGTCTCCTATCCGCTCTGCCTATGCACAACCTGCAGTGCAGCCAGATAGTCGCTGAGTTTTGGTCACAGGACTGCTGGTTACAGCTGAGTCAGTCAGGACTTCTCAGTTACATTGATTATAACAGAATTTTTTGTTTTTTTGCATCACAAATTACCACAAGCAACTCATTTTTGGCTACCTTTTATATGAGACAAGTGATTTTGATGATGTTTTTAAGCTCAGGTTTGGTTGTTTTTCCCAATGAAAGTCACACATTGGACTGTTAAAAATCAAATGATTCTGTCTGTGTTTGCAGTTTCTTGCCATGATAAACGGTGTGATTTTGGTGTTTTTTTTCTTTCGTTTTTCTAAACACGCCTTTCAAATCTGCCGACAGATTTTAGGGTTCAGAGGGTTAATATCCATGTGTGCTTCCAATCTGGCCCTTACCTCATCCTCAAAACCTGGACTCTCATTTCCTCTCTTTATTGTTTAATCTTTCATTTCTCCCCTCCACCTTTGCTTCACTTCACTTTCTTCTTTCTGTCCTTCAGAGTCATGTGGCTGCTGGCTCCGGTGAACCAGGTGGGGACGAGTACCACTCCCTGGTGCTGTACCACAACAACAGCCCTCGCTGGGCGGAGCAGATCAAGCTGCCCATCCCCGTCGACATGTTTCGGGGATCGCACGTCCGCTTTGAGTTCCGACACTGCTCTAGTAAGTGAGAATGGGGATTGCGGATAACCTCTATTTATCTCGGAAAGGTTAAGCGAACACATTCTCCCGAAGCTTTCACACATTTTCACACATTAGCCGCCCGAGGTGCTGCATTCTCCACAGTTGATTATCCGGGGGAAGTCGAAGATAAACAGCTGTCATCCTGCTCGTGACTCCAGCCTGCAGTGTAGCTCCATAAACATCGCTGATAAACCTGAGAATTACTCCAAATTACCTGGTCACTGTGTCTGACAGAGAGGAGTCAAGGCATTCACTCTCCCAACTGCTTGAATCTGCCAACCCTCCAGCCTCGAGCCCTCAGGCTGCTGCCCACCCCACCTCCCTCCAAACAGACAGCGTCCAAGTGAACGCTTGTTTTAGCATTTCCATAATGAGGCTAGTTTGTCCAACTTCTCGTTTCCTAATGAGACAAAACTTTAATTATGACCAAAATATCGCTCTCACTCCTTTTCACCCTCTTTCTGGGCTATGGGGAGAAGGCCGAGCCTCTTCTCTCATAACAAGCTGATATTATTATGCCAAGCTGGGAGGCAGTGTGGCTGTGTGCAGTAGATATAGTAGCCTTATTACTGCTGGCAGTGCTGGTATTGCCACCCCAGGGCTGCCTATTAAGATCCCAATTTAGGCCTGTGGTGACACCAAACTGAGGGGGCCATATAACACATATTGTTAGGGCTCTCAAACTCAGACACAACCTGCGTGTAGAAATATGATTAGCAGACACTTTATTTTCAATTAAGGCAAAAGAGGGGGAAGCTGCTTTTTTCTCTCTCTCTCTCTCTCTCTCTCTGATTATGCTTTTAAATGGTGTCTTGTTTTTTGCACTCATTATGCAGCAGCTGTAATTGTTAATTTGTTTGTGGGGAGTTCAGCGTTGTTTCTAAATGCTGTTGAAGGGAGCTGTCAACATCCGCAGTGAAATGCTTTATTATTGCTAATTTTCTGCTGATAGATTTTGGAACAATTGAACCAATTATCAGGAGACGGCGCACCTTATGATTAGCGCTGTCTGAGGAGCTGCTGCTGCTGTTTTATAAAAATGTCCCTTTATTACGGTTCAAAATCTTGAAGGACCCCATCTATCACATTGTGCTGTATAACAGAATAGAGTGTGTGTGGTAGAAAATATAACATACATCAATCTGTACCTGGTCTGCCAAGCTTAGCTAAGCCTGCTTTTCAGAGTAGCACTTAATCTTTCCTAATCTCCTCCCGCCTGAGGATGAGGACTTTATAGATGTGGAAAACTTGCCCCAAAAGCATCCACACACAACAACAACAAAAAAAAAAGCAAAAGTGTACAGTTTTGTAAGCAATAACTTTCCAAAATGGCACCAATTTCTAAGTTTAATACAGTAAAAACTTGCTTCTCCTTGGAGACACACACCAACACACACACAAAAGACTGCCTAAATGAATCGCTGGTGTTGCAGTGGAAGGAAACAGAAACACTCCTCGCGCGATGCTTTTAACTTCCTGCTGTGCACACATTAGCACTTTACAGCTAAAGCAGCAAATAAGTCAGATTACATGTGTTCATAATGCAAATTATGCCCAGAGCTTTCAGAAAGCTTCGTAAAAACACAGCAGCCAACATTAATCAGGCCCTCGAAGAGCAACTTAACAGCATCTAAAAAGTCTTGTTTTTGATGTTGTTGTTTTTTTTTTGAGTGTACTCTTTTCACATCACCCCAGCGTTATTGTGTTGTGGTGCAGCAGATGTTTGACGATATCCAACAATAGTAAAGCAGCGGTAGCTTCCTGTTGAACGAACTCATTATACATTGTGATTTTCTCGCTCAAAGGCCTTATGTGTGTCACCGAGACCTCATCAAACATTCAAAATGCTGATGTTTTGAATATTTTAAACAGGAGCTGTGAACATCCATGTTTACATGAAGTAAGAGGACTCTTCTGCTCTGACTCTACCTGATTTATTGCACACAAACTGATAGCAGGAATGTGAACCTGGGCACAGATTTACTCTAGAGTACAAGATACAAACAAGACTGGGACCCGCTCAGCAGCGCCATGAATGTTCAAAACCCAACCAGAAGAGGTCAAGAAGGGTGGCTGTGGCTCAGGTAGTAGAGCAGGTTGTCCTCCAGTCGCAAGGTTGGCGGTTCGATCTCCCGCCCCTCCACAGTCAAAGTGTCCTTGGGCAAGACGCTGAACCCGAAATTGCTCCCAATGGCAGGCAGCACCTTGTATGACAGCTCTTTCACCATTGGTGTATGAATTTGTGTGTGAATGAGTAATATGTTGTAAAGCACTTTGGATAAAAGCGCTATATAAGTGACCATTTACTATTTACCAAGAAGGCTTCTCAGCTGGAAGAAACTAGTGCAGCTAATTGAATAAAATCCCACTTTTTAAACGTATTTATGCTGCATAAAGTGAAAAGTGGAACTTGTGTTCTATATATAAAATTGTTTGTTTTGTTGCAGCCTTTGTTGGTCTATTTTGGATATCAATCTCACGTCCATGTGTTGTTGTTTGACAGCTAAAGACAAGGGAGAGAAGAAACTGTTTGGCTACTCCTTTGTTCCTCTGATGCAGGAGGATGGCAGGACTCTGCCAGATGGCACCCATGAGCTCATTATCCATAAGGTAAGACCTGCACACCCTCACTACCAAGACTTTGACTGAGCAACATGGAGTCGAATTCAGTGTGTCCTTGGCAGGATATTTGTTTTTGGCACATGCACAGTGCTGAGACATTGTACTGCAGGAATAGTCATCTTGATGTGTAATTCAATCCAAGAACTAGAAAACTGCAATTTGGAAAAAAAAAAATAAAACAAGATTTCACTGAACAGAACAACAAAGACTGTTTAGCCTGTTCATTAGTAAATTGTAGATCCTTGACACAGGTGTTGCTAAGGGTGCTTTGGATGGGATTACACCATGTATGTCATTATGTGAATCATTCCCTGCAAATAGCAAAATGCACCCATCATCTTATCATCGTGTTTGGTGCCACTGGCTCACAAACAGCTCACATCACTCTATTATAGGCTGATGGGGGCAATGAGTAATGTCCACTTACGTAACATTGTCAAGCTGTGAGCTTGAATTCAACCGTGAGTGAGTGTTAGTGTGTGTTTGCTTGTGCATGTGCAACAAACAGTTGGTACCCAGCTAGTCCGCATCTCTTTATTTAGCCTCATGTCCATTTTCTGCATTTTTACACGCTTTAAGAGACTCACACTCATCTTTTCACACATTTAGGGTTTGACACATCAAAAGTCTAAAGCAAATAAAATGACCTTTATCTGCAGTTTAAAGCTACTGCAATGCTGTCTTGGGTGTAATTCAGAATAATTGCAGACTACATGCTTTTCCTCAGCTGCAGGCGAAGGGTGTGTACATAAACCTCCGGCTCTGTGGAAGAGACAGAAACACGGAGCGCATTTTATTGGCAGCAAGACGGAACAGTGACCAAAAATCGGATTATTTATTTTGTGGTTGTCTGTAGTTTATTTCAGCAATCTATAAAAGCAAAAAAAAAAACAAAAAAAACTCCTATTTTCATTGTCATCTTTTCCTGGCAGGTTGTGAGATTTAGTGTTACCAAACCTCAAACCTGAGCCTGCCAGTTTTTTTTTTTAAGCAGACAACTTTCTTAGCCTTGTGTGTTCCCAGCGTTCCCACCGACGGGGTAAAGGCCCATTCTAATGCCAGATGGAAGTTGCTGAAAAGCTCAATGAAACTGGCATGGCCTAGTTTCTCCTCAGACCCAAAATAGACACAGAAGAATCAGTCCAAACTGTGTGGTAGCTTTGGAGCTCAAATGGCCTCAGCTGTGCATTAAGGCTGCGCATTTAAATCCCCCCAAAATAACACAATCTTTTTCTTGGCTTCTGCATTTTTAGCATTCTGACAGACTGAATAGTTGCCAACAAGGTTTTAAACTTGGGTGTTAATGTCTCCAGCATGACTGATAATCTATGATATAGTACAGAAGTATGCTTTGGTAAACCTGCTACACTTTTCTTCTCTTGTTTGCTGTTTCTGTTTCACTGGATGATGCAATGAAATGTTATGACACACTGGCATTTTAAAACTGTGAATGCAGCATTATTTCAACATTTTGATGATGTTGCTTTCTTCTACCAAACACCTACAGTGTCCGTTGACAAAAAAATGCTTTCTCTTCCTTGCAGTGCGAGGAGAACACCAACCTGGCCGACTGCTCGCGCTACCTGAAGCAGCCGTTCTCTAAGGCCAACCTGCCGTCTAACAATCAGACGCTGAAAGGCACCAAGGAGTCTTTCTGGATCACCAGCTTCCTCTGCTCCACCAAGCTCACACAAAATGGTAAACTAGACTCGGGCGTTGACATTTTTGGCCTCTCGTCCGGTGAGCTGTTTTGGCTGCTATGCCTGTACACATTTTTAATTGGAGTTAGCGTCTGCAGTGCTCCGCTATCTGCTCCTGTGTGCCTTTGCAGTTCAGTAAGTAGAGCGTAACGCAAACGTTTCCAAAGATTGCGATCTGCGCTTACAGAAAGCGCTAAGATGCCATACGTTTAGAGTCTCTTCCCCAACACTCGTCTTTGTTTATCGGTGTTATATATGCAAACATTTTTCTCTGAAAATAATCCCACATATGGCTTAAAATGGTTTCGATGTAACTCTGCACCTTTAACTCCTTTAGAGAGTGCAAACCTATGAATATGTAAATTAGGCCCACCTCTATCTCCACCCACCTCCTGCTGTTACCAGAAAACCTCTTTATGCATCACAACTGCAAGGTGTAATGCTGGAATAATTGTGCCATATGTGTTAGAGCCACAATACAAGTCGATGTGTCAGGATGCTGATGTATTTTACTAAAGCGTTAGTCATGTAAAGCCCTTTTCATTGGATATCTAACAATGTGGACGTCATCAATCCGTTAAAGTGATGGCATTTGGTCATTTAGACGTTTAGGTTAATGTTCTTCACGGCTTCAATCAGGCAAATCCAGACACCACAGTGATGGACAGAGCCACAGTAACCACATGATATTTGTAATTCACATGAGATTGGACAATACTGATGTATAATACATAATAATGCACTCATAAACCAAAGCTAAGCTAAGAGCTAACCTACCAAACTGTGCAAATAGCTAATAGCTCATCATCAAGCTCTGCAGAAGCCTGATAACGATCCTGATCATGTGAATCAGGTGTGTTGAAAGTGGGAAACATCTAAAACATGCTGGATAGGGGCTCTCGTGGACCAGGATTGGGCACCTCTGGCCTAGTCTATGTCAGATTTTCTCAATACTAAGAATTCTGTCCATGTGTGATAATAGTCTAACTACTTCTTAACCAACAGTACAACCCTGACAGCTGTGATGGAGCTCAGCACTCACAGACCATTTGGCTGCAGCTTATATTCTATGACTATGACTCAAGATTAAGAAAAGTACACAGTTCAACTTATTGTTGGATCCTGACCAATTCTCCATCCATGCATAAGATAATTTAAATATGAGATTTTATATGAGATTAATGAAGGTACAGCACAAATCTTGTTTTAGAGACGCTGATATGGATCCTGCAGCTGTCTGATGCTGCAAGTATTCAATAAACTCAGAGGGAAGACTCATTCAAAGAGCTGGAATAAACAATTTCATACACTCCATTTAACCGCCATTTATTCAATAAACGCTATTTAATAAACTCAGAGGAAAGATTTATACATACAACTGGAAGCAACAAAGTAAACTTCAGCGTCTGTTATTGTTTGGTCAAAACTAAGACTTATTTATGAGTTATTTATGAGCAAATTGAATGAGAAATATGGTTTGGTTTTTGGCACACAAACTGTGTCTTTAGCGCTGTCTGTGCTGTTTTTGGACCCATATTGATGCTGAAATGCAGAAAAAGCTTTCCGCAAATCACCTCACAGAACTCAAAGCGCAGCCACCGATTTGCGGATTTGTGCCGTGTTGAAAATTAAATGAAAAGATTGCCATCGCACCTTTTATGGAAAAGTGACCAGAGTGCTATTACAGAGATAAAACCGACACGTTCGGATGCCATCAGATTAACGGAAGAAACTGCATTTCTGAAAGGTAATAAATACTGCGAGCCTTAGGGCAGACTATGTTATCAGAGAGCTAATAATGTGTTGCTAATGTTGGGCAAAGGCTCAGAATTTCCACTTTTTCAACAAGAACTTCTCTCCTTCGTGGCTTCTCCTCTGATACGTAGAACCTCAGACAACAACAGGATCCATTCCTTAGGTTTGCTGTCTTGCTCTGTGTTTCTGCGACTGTCATCAGTACACTGCGCTTTCACTCGTGTTGTGTTTTCTAGCCAACATAATACACGATGTGGACATGCTAACAGAATGGAAAAACCACATTTTCATTAGAAGGAGTCTTTAAGAATAAAACACAGAGTGAGGTATAGGTCCAAGTGTATGAACAACTTCCAATCTGTAGATAAACTAGTAAACTTTCAGAAGTGCATGTGCAGAATGAGATGTGACGCTTCATTTATGGTGAAGAAAAAAGTCATTATCCAAAAATGAACATCAGCACTGTCACTGGCGCTTTCAAACTTTACCAGACGCTCACTGTTTTACCAGGCAACAGTATTTTCTGAATTAAAGAAAAAAAAAAAACCTGAATACATTTTTGCCTCATTAAGCAGACGGTTGAATATATAAACATAAAAGCTACAGGCACAATTTACTTGCAAAAGGCTGTTAATTTCCTGAATACATTTGATGTTGTTCTATGAATTGATTATAGCAATATGGCAGCGCTTTTTTGATTTAAGAAAAAATATTTAACGCATATTTCGGGACAGTAATAAACGCACATGCACACTAATTTACGCATAAAGTTGCAAAAAAAACATGCTTCAGGTTGAACGGAATCCAAAGAGACAGCTAAAAGACTTTCTTCTTGAGGCTTATGTTTTATTCATGCATACGTCTGGGGACTCTGGCTCAGGAAAATGACTTTTTATCTTCTTTATCCCGCCGCACTTGAAAATGTCATCATTTGTTTAGATTCGGTGGAGTTTTTAGGCTGTAATTGAAGGGTGCGATGATGCTTTGTGATCCGAGGTACATTGCTCTCCTAATTCTCTGTTTCTTTACAAACAAACAAGAGATGTGTCTTGATCTCTTCTGCTTGTTCTCTCTGTATCTCTCTTTGTCTTCCACCAGGCGACATGCTGGACCTGTTGAAGTGGCGAGCCCACCCCGAAAGGATCAACGACAGCCTCTCTAAGCTGAAGGAGATCGATGGCTCGGAGATTGTCAAAGTAGGCAATCAGATTCTCAGCTCTGAATTGCTTCTCTTTTCTGGAGTATTGAGTTTTTCTGATTTGATATCGGTCCGCATTCTTGTTAAGTTCAGCTTGAGAGAACGTCAAAAAAAAACCTTGAAAAGTTCAAGTTAACTTGATTCTGCAGCTCTGTGCTAAACTTTCTTCTTCTTCCAGTTTCTCCAGGACACCTTGGACACCCTCTTTGGTATTCTGGACGAAAGCTCCCAGAGATATGGACTCAAGGTGTTTGATTCACTGGTAAGCGCATTGTCCTAATGGTCATTTCCATGGATCTTTTTTGTTTTGTGCGAGTTTTCCTTCACACATCTGATAGTGTCGCGCAGCGAGAACAGAACCTGCTGGGGAAAGATCCAGCGATGTAACGCTTCAGAGCCTGTTGAACCAATCTCTCCCTGGTCATGCTGCACTGAGCTGATAGTACGAGGCCAGAGATCGATCTCTCTCTCTCTCTCTCTCCGTCTTACTCTCTGTCTCTGCCAGCATCTCTCTCTCGCTCTACATCGGTCTCACACTGACAAATGAACACACTCTTTCCTCTCAGCGTGGTGTTATCAATGATGAAAAGGTCTAGTGAACCGCTGCAGCCATCAAGTTTGCTTTTTGTGGGGTTTTTTTTGGGATCAATCCAGCAAGTTGGACAAGTGGACTTCTGTGGTTTGGACAAATTCAGTTCAGTGTAGAACAACTTTCACATAAAGGAGACATGAAGTTGCATGAAGAAGTAATGTGTTCAGGTCGTTAGTTTCCAAGAGTTTCTTACAGCCTTCTCTTATCTTTTCAATGTGATCTGCCACAAGTCTGAAAGAAAGAAAACTCATTAAAGTGGCAACAAAACGGGTCGCTTCCTGTTTTCCTCACAGCTGAGCAACGAGGAACAATACAGGACACAAAACTATCAACACGTCTTAGGAAATAAGAGAGGAGGAAGAAGCTCCTGGTTTGTTTTCTGGCTGCTAGCAGTAGCATTAGCAACATGGCTACGATTAACAGTCCAGCTACAGTCCAAGGCACAAACAGTAGGATTCCAATTTGAAATAAAAACCTTGATCTCAGGGCTATGATAAAGGCTGAGTATTAACTGTTGGTTGTATTTATAAACAGACACATGTTGATCTAGTAGAAATAATGCCAACTGAATGCTAGTTTTCTCAACTCCTCGAGCTCTTTCCATCAAGTGCACGTCCTTCAGAGGTTCACTATTGTTTACCTCGGTCTTTGCTGTCTTTGCTTATTTTGCGTTTCCACAGTTACTTTTGTTGTTTTTCGGAACCATAATTGAGTTTCAATTTCCAGGGAGATTTCAGTCCCGGGCGTAGACAGAATTGCCCAGTGAAAACGAGGCTTATAGGGAACTAATCTTAATTGTTGCGTAGCCATTGTATTGCTCAGTCAACATTTACTTCATAATGACAAGTGAGAGGGAAACAAACAAACTTGTCTCTTGCCAGTTTTAACACAATGTAAGTCCTTCACGTTCAGGGGAAAAAGCACCTCCATGGATAAAAGCAGAGAGAACTCAAAAATGTCTTTTGTAAAGGATAACAATGAAGTGTACAATCAGTTTTATTTGCAAAAAATGGAAAAACATGGGACCAACATGTACAATCTTGGCCCACAGGTGGTACCATTACTGGAAGAAAAAATGGTGGCACTACATGCTATAGATGATTTTGATTTGTTTCCATTCTGGTCTCTGCTCTGTGTAAACACTGCCTGCAGTTCAGCCAGAAGGTTTCTGAGTTTTTGTCACATCAATGTTGGTCACAGGCGAGTCACCTATGGCTTCCTGATGAAGCAGAGGAGCACAGAATTTATTGTTTTTTTGCAGAGTGCGGTAAATGCAAACGATTTTTGGCAATTTTTTAAAGGAGACACGTAGAATAAAAGTGTTTTCATTTAAATATCACGATTTGGAGTTTAGTTAAGTTTTCCAAAGGAACCGTTTGTCACAGATGAGTAGTTTAAGGACCATTTGAAAATTGAAAATCCAATGTTTGTTTCTATTTTAGCAGTTTCTGCCTCTGATAAATGGAGATTTGTTTTGTTTTTAAAGATAATACGTCAAGATTGATAGCTCAGAGGGTTTGTCTGTGGAGTGAAAGTTCATGATTTTATTATGTTACCTCCACTTGTGTACATTGTAAGGCCCAGGTTAGTTAAACTCATTCACTGTACACACATAGTCAGGATTGTATTTGTTAGTGGTGATCCCAAAGTTGCCAGAAAAATCACTGTTTATAAAATCTTGTTAATCTGATGGAAAGCTGTAGCCATAAAAAAAAAAAAAAAAAAAAAAACTAATTTAAATTTTCCACTCAAGGTAAAAAAATCAATAAAAAACTGGACCAAGCTGAAATAGAATATATATTTACTGTCATACACTGTGGGATGAGAGGATGTTTGTTTAACCATAAAGCTCCTCAAGACAAAAAAAGAAAGCAAACTGTAGCTTAAAGGGAACAGACTGAGCTTTCTAGAGCTAAAATTATGTCTTTCCTGTTTATTTCCAGGTCCATATCATCAACCTCCTCCAGGACAGCAAATTCCAGCACTTCAAACCGGTCATGGACACCTACATTGAGAGCCACTTCGCTGGAGCTTTGTCCTACAGGTACATGTGATGTTTCAGCCTTCGCTTCTTCTCGTGGCTGTTGAAGGCAGCACCTTGAGCACACAGTACCGCAGCCTTACCCACATATTGTATTCTAATAACACATCACAGGGGCAGGCAGGATGAGAGGCCAGCCTACGTCAATGCTGAGAGGCAGCTCTGCTCGGCTCTGTGTTTCCAGTTAGTCGCAAGAGTGAATAAAATGCCTCTGGTGCCCCCTGGCTGATGAAAAGTGAATTATAAAACTCTGCTGGCTTTTTTTTTTTTTTTTTTTTTCGCCCCTCCATCCATCACACGCATACAGAGACACATGCAGACACACATATTCACGACCTGCTGTTCTCACCGGCTGCCTTCTTCACACTCTCTGTACCTGCTAAGATATCAATGCTGTCTTCTTCTGGGGGTTTTGTTTTCAGTCTTTGCATACTCACACACACCCACCGCAGCTAGATCCATCTGCTCTAAACTCTTTGACCTGTGATATTGTTTCACGAGGAGTGTCACAACTTAATTAACACACTGAATGGGAAAACGTATGATGATTTTTTTTTTTTTGGTCTTATTAGAGCTATCTTAGGTTCTTAATAGGGAACCAGGATGTCATCCAGACCTCATTAGAATCGTCTCATTTAGTAATCTTTTTCTCCCGTATCGGTCACCAGCGTCTGATGAAGATGATCTTTCTTGACACTGAGTTTAATATCCAATATGCCCAAGAAGTTACGAGGCATTTTTTGTTGCATTTGTTGCTCATTATTGCTAAAAGTGCAGCACTTAGATCAGCTGTGTTGATGAAATAAGTGAAATAAGGTTATCTGATTTAACGTGTTGCATTATAAAGCACAGCGTTGCCTCATATATATATGCCAAATCCAGCGGGGGAAGCAATGCAGCGAGAGGTAAATGGCAATACTGAATCTGTGTGTGTGTGTGTGTTCTCCAGGGACCTGATCAAAGTGCTGAAGTGGTACGTGGACCGCATTGTTGATGCAGAGCATCAGGATCACATACAGCAGGTGCTCAAGGTGAGGCGCGCACAAAGACAAGCAGAGCGATGTTTTTTCCAGCCGCACATTCCCCACATTCAGCTGTTTTCATGGATGCACACTCGCCAAAATATACGGCGACAATTACACAATCCACACACATGCATCCAGAAACACAAACAAACAAACTTGCTCCCATCTCGCTGCCACTCCCGCTAATTTCTCTCCCCATCAGCAGCGAAACACATCGTGCCACCATTCGTTGCTCCCCTCCTCCGTCTATTACGCCACATGCAATTTTAATCAGCAGAAATGCAGTGCCTCTGGTGTCGGGAAGCCACATCACAATATTCTAATGACTCATGCAGATACACTGTCAGTGGAGCACATTGCAGCTTCTGAGCTGTGGTTTCCCATTTATCATTCACAGAATACGTTCTGCGCCAGGAGTAAATGCTCGACTGCCGTGCCGTAAATAATAAATAAGCGATACACCGCAAGCCGTGTTTGCGGTGTTTCCACATAGAAGTGATCTATAGCAAGTATTCCAACAGGTTTAATTGTGTGTCAAACGTGTGGCTTTCTGATACTTCTCTAGTAAAGAAGGAAAGCAGCTTCTTGTTGTAAAAGTTAAATAATACAAAAGTTAAGCTCAAGAATGTTTAAATTCTGCTCAGTTGTCGGATACAGTGATTAATCTACTTATTTAATTAATAAACTGTGGACACAAGAGCTACAAGTAATTACTCTTTCAAATTCTGTTATCTATAACATGTAAAATAAAGGCTGAGGGGATGTCTTTAGTCTCCGTACTTTCTCCCACGCTGTTCGTCTCTTTACAGAGGTGCAAAACTGAGCAGCAAAAACAGCAAATTCTCACAATTGTGAATCTACAATAAGCAAATGTCTTGCAGTTGTTATTAATAATTGATGAGTCAGTTTTTAATATTCTTGCTAGAGCTGTCATTTCACTGGGAGTGTGCAGCACTTTCTGCTTTCAGATAAATAGAATCATAAAACTTTGGATAAAAATGCGTCGGAGCAAAATGTGACAGTACGCTGTTCTTTAACTGGAAGGGGCTTGCTGTGCTTTTTTCATTACGCAACAAATGATAAATGTCTGTTCCTTCTGTCCTCCAGGCCAGCGAGTACATCTTCAAGTACATTATCCAATCTCGCCGGCTCTTTTCGTTGGCGACGGGAGGCCAGAATGAGGAGGAGTTCAGAGTCTGCATCCACGAGCTCTTCATGTCCATCCGCTTCTTCCTCTCACAGGAAAACAAAGGCACCAGTCCCGTCGCACAGACACAGGTGTGCATATGTGTGTGTTTGGTTGTGTTGCAACATCTGACAAGCATGAACATGTCCTGAAAACAAACGTGCATCTCTGTGTGCACATATCTGAATGTGTAAATTAGTGCCTGTTGGTGCTGGTGCACCACATCGTGTTTTCTTTCTCGAGGACTCCTGGTAATGCAGCTGTGATAGGTGAGAAATTGGCTGTAATTGAATTTCACGCTGCCGGAGGTTCTGGAGTCGGAATAGGAGTTTCTGCGGCAGCTTTTCCTTTACCGGTGGGAGGTCTGCACAGCAGGGCAGCCGCCTTCACTGATTTCTAACAAGACCAAAACAAACAAGCTAAAGACTGCAGAGATAATTCTAATTACACACCAGAAACAGATGCTTGTGTGGTTGAGTCTTTGGAAATACCTATATTTGTGCCTCTGTGGTACGTGTATGTGCATCTGTGCTGTCCATTTGCTCCTTTGCCTTCTCTATGCATGATAATCCATTTAACTCTCCCATGTGGACTGTGAACATGTGTTTCCTTTTCATATTTCAACAATTAGAGCAATCTGCAGCACTCATTAGACTGACAGAAAGAGTTGTCAGAACCAGAAATGCTGTTCCTTGCAGTCACTTTTAGTAATTTAGTAATTGTTTTACCTCTCTTTGAGGCTGCTAGAATCATATTTACAGAGTAGCATTAGCTATTCCAGTTGTGTTCAGTCCGTGCAGTCTGAAAAGCTCTGTTTCATCCCTCCACTGACTCCTGATCTGGTTTAATCTGTATTCTCAACACAACAATAGCTGTGGGAGGATGCAGGTCAGGCTAATGCTAATCCCTGTTAATCTGTCACATGTGGCGCACACACTGGCCAACATACACAATTACACACACACAAGCACATAAACAGTAAAACTGTACACAAACAGACATGATTAAGTAAGAATTCCTGCACTCATGGACGTTGGCTCGAGGACCAGGTGATAAACACAGGGTCTCTCAGATTTGATTTGTTTTAACTATGTCATGAACAGAGCAGTCAGAGAGCTGCAAGCTGGCATGTGAATAAAAAAATCTCTATTTGCATCATTTAAAATCAATTTTATATTGCAAAAAAGTAAAAATGCAAAAAAATGCTTCATGGTTGCGTCAAGGAGCACAGAATTTTTTTGTTTTTTACAAAATGTGGCAAAGAATGAAGTGATTTTGATGAATTGTCGCACTTTAAAGCTCAGATTTGGGTAATTTTACTGAAACATTGGTACATCACAAAGTTGTTCAAGGACTGTTTGGAAGTTAAAAATCTGAAGTTCTTTCTGTTTTTAGTTTCTGGCTCATTGATGATTTTTTTATTTTTTTATTTTTTGTTTTTGAAGATAACAAACAATACCACTGAATGTGTCCAACCCAGAAACTCTCTCAATGAATAGTTCCTACCAAGGAGCCCTAAATAATTATCAGCCCTGTGTGGCTCCATCTAAACAGGCCATTTCTCAAAAGAAAAACCTTTAACAGTGAAACAGCTTCCATCTTCTTGGAAAAAAATTGAAGGTAAAGAGAAAAAAAAGAGTGACACAGTGGGGCACCGCTCGAGATTTTTGTAATCTTCATCTTTCAACTGTGAAACGAGAATCTGACAGAACTCGACAGGAAGAAAGATGATCTGACGGCGAGCCACGAACAGGTGACGGACAGCAGTCCCAGCGGTCCTTCAATTTAATCCACATAATCCCTGTCTGCCAGAGTTTCAACCAAATCCAGTCCAGGCCAGTGATGCAGGGCAGAATAGTTAATATTTACTTTTGTATAAATATAAATCGAGTTATTGTTGCGTATTCGAGCTGCAGGGTAGCTCAGTAGGTAGCACCGTTGCCTCGCAGCAAGAAGGTCACCGGTTCACATCCCGGTGAGGACACCTAGTATCTTTCTGCGTGGAGTTTGCATGTTCTCCACGTGCAGCGTGGGTTCTCTCTGGGTTCTCCGGCTTCCTCCTACACAGTCCAAAACCATGTTGAGGTTAATTGGTGATTCTAAATTGTCCGTAGGTGTGAATGTGAGTGTGCTTGGTTGTCTAAGTGTAGCCCTGTGATAGACTGGTGACCTGCCTTCACCCTAAGTCAGCTACAAGACTCAACGAGATCTTGAGTAGTGAGCTCTCCGAAGCCCCTGTCGATTTGTCACTTCCAAGCTTTACCCTTTGAGCTTCACAGTACCTCCAGATCACAGTGAAGTTTCCTATAAGAATTGTACAAAGAAATTACATATACTGTATGTTATGTAATACTGATTTAGAGGAAGATGTACTGAAGATTCAGAGAGACGTACTGTATATATACATCCATGCATATCCACATCCTAAAATGCTCTCTGTAGTATATGGTATATGGTTTTGGCTGCTCAGTAAGGTGATTCCTTTGAAAGAGAAATTATTTTGAAGATAACAGTTGTTGCCTGTTTGATTTAGCTTCTACGTGATCCCTCCTTTCTGCCCAGGCGGTGTTTCTACGAACGTTCCCGGCAGTTTACGGCGAGCTGCTGAAGATCTTCACCGTGCGGGAGGTGGCCGGGTTCGTCAGGGAGACGCTGAGCAGCCTGCCGACCACCATCCACGCCGACTGCCCCCTGGAGGCCATCAAGCTGCAGTGCATTGCCAAGACTGTGGAGAGCCAGCTTTACATCAACCCAGGTAAAGACACGCGTACACAAACATGCGCGCTGGTTTGTGTACGCTCTGAAATGTGTACACAATTATCGCTTGTACTCACACTGGGAACCCGGGGCAGAAGGATTTGTGAGAAAACACACAAAAAAAGGGCATTGCATACAGATTACAAGCACACAGCAAAAACAAACAGCAGCGAGGGAAACAAACAGATTTGACCAAGTGGATTCATTGTGGGGGTGTTATTGTAGCAAAACTATTTGTAAATGTGTATGGAGAGTTGTGTGTCTGTAGTGACATTTGTGAATGTGTAAGAAGATTTGTAAAAGATTCGTCAATGCGTACAAAGATATTAATAGATGAAAAGTCTAGCTATTTGGTTACAAGTGCAGGAAATACAGACAAATCATCAGTTGCAAGTCAAGCGGGCCTCACAATTGGTTGTCTTTTTACACATGACTTCTGCAGTGAGAGACTTATGTCTGTAACTTTAGGGTTTCTGTGTTCTGAGCCCAGACTCACAGGCTCATTATTTCTGGCTGCGTACCATTCTGCTGCTCTGTATCTCAGTAGTTATGCTGCCTGCGAGCCATCATGAAACTTTTTGCTCAGTGACCCACAAACTTAGCAAATTTAGCTTGTTCACATATACCAGACAATGTCGTGTGCTCTCAAACACTCTGGGGGATAGCGCCACCTGATGACTTGCAGGCGGCATAGCTACTGAGGCACAGGGTGACATGCAGCCAGAATGAACGAACCTGTGAGTCTGAGCTCAGGGCAAAGAAAACCTGAAATTACTGATACAAATCTCTCATGTCAGAGGTGGTGCAAAAGTCATGTGTAAAAAGATAACCAAATGAGAGGCCCGCTTGACTTGTAACTGATGATTTGTCTGTATTTCCAACACTTGTAGCCAAATACTGAGACTTTTAATCTATTAATATCTTTGTACGCATTTACAGATCTTTGTATGCATTGACAAATCTTTCTACACGTTCACAAATCTCACTACAGACACACGACTCTCTATACACATTTACAAGTAGTTTTGCTACAATAATACCCCCATAATTCATGCACAAAATACAGAAAATGATCAATAATACTTTGCTTGTTTGTCTTGCAGTTTGCACAAACAGGCTGTTAGTCTTTGATTGGCTGTGTTCTCCTACGGTGCAGTCATTCGAGAACACACCTTGGCTAATAGTTACCCTACAGTGAACCGAACTCCTTGCCATTAAATAGTTCTTAATAAAGGCTTTGTGCTGAAGCAAATTACTGTGTCAGTGTTTTATTTCCGGCACGCTCCCGAAGTCTACAGGGAGCAAGAAGCACATCCCTCATGCAAATCACATTAATGCTTCGTAAGGAATTACATTAGGTACACTTAATAATATTAAAGAAGCGACTTGTGAGCATGAAAGCAGAGCAGAAACGAAATGAAAAGTGATGAAAATTGTTTCTGTTTTCTTTTACCGCTTGGTGTTTTCCTTTCATACGTCATTATGTCTTTGATGTGTGACAGCTGTTTGTGTTGCAGAATCACGATGCATCCTGTTGCCGGTGGTGCTGCGAGTCCTCCATGCCCACATGCAGGAGCAGAGAGACCTGGTCATGTGCGCTCGCATCCTCACCAGTATGCTGTCTCTCATCAAGAAGGAGGAAAACGGCAGCGCGGTGAGCAATACGCTGATAACTGAGCGCTATTATACCAGCCGCCCCTCTTATCCTTAAACCCTCTGAACCCCAAAGACCTCCAGCAGGTATGAAAGGCACGCTGTCTTTCAAAAAACATCTCCAAAATTACACAATTTATCAGAGCCAGAAATTGTAAAAACGGAAACACTCCAGGGGTGTGCAAAAACCACATTCTGTAAAAAGCACAAAAAAATTCTGCACTGCTTGGCACAACTGTGAAGCCATTACTGACTCGGCTGCAACCAACACATTAGTGACAAAAATTCAGAAACTTTTCGGCTCAACCGGGCCGAACTGCAGACTGTGTTTGAGCAGAGCAGATAGAAGACATACATGGAAACAACAACATGTAAATAGTAAAACATCTATAGTATGTAGAGTGACTTCCCCCCACCTTCAGTATAGTTAACACCTGTAGGCACTTGAAAAAATGTTGGACATGGATCCTTAGTTGTTTTTGTAGAATAAATAAGCAAAGAATTCTACTTTAACCTTTGCTTTTTGTGTGATCGATGGTATTATGTCATCGTAACTGTAACTGCGTCATATTGCACAGAAAACATTTCTTAGTTCTCTCTATTTCTAGAGGTCCAGGACTTTAGATGGCAGTGAAATATGAGCCCAGAGTGAATAAAAATGTGACAGGAACAACATTACACAGAAACTGTTTGGGGTTCAGAGAGTTAAAGAAGCAGTTCAGGGTTTAAGGAAATATACTTCTTGGATGAGGAGGCTGATATATCTGTACAGTAGACATAAAGCTGCAGGTTGTAGCTGGTTAGCTGTCCTTAGCATAAACACTTGAACAGATAGTACAACAACAGATAGATACACTATGTCTCTTTCCTTTAGGAGGTTATTATAGCTGCTTTTTTTTCTGCAGGCCCAAAGTCCACACCAAAGGTAGTTATTCTCTCCCACAGAAAATGCTGCTCCTTGCCAACTGGAAACAGCTTATTTAAGATCCGAGGTTTTTGTTTGTTTGTTTTAAATTTGCTTCACCGTGTCACATATCTGCATACCTCACTTTTGTCGATCCAGCTGACCCATCAGATCACACCCATCAGCTGAACCGGAGTGTTTTAAACAGAAAGTGAAAGAGGTGCTGCACCAATGTAAAGTTTTAGGGAAATAAACACGAACATAAAGCATTGGAAACATATTGAAATAGACCCCAAATGTAAAATTATAAACCTGCAAATAAGCGCAGTGCATAAAAATGACAAGTTGAAGAACTGTGCTTGTCTTTTTCCAGCTTTTGTGACTATTTTTCTCATGATTAGGGAAACAAAGAAGCACAGAGTTCATAATTGTAATTTTATTGGAGACTATTGTTGTGCTGTTCCCTGGCCTTGGCTAAGTCACTTCCTGAAGTATTGTCTCTCTAAGAAACCACAGAATCCAATTGTTAAATATTTAATGATAGAGGATCTGGAAAGCCAAGTTGTTGTTTTTAGCCTTTTATTACTTTAAGCTTTGTTTAACCAGGAAAAGTCTCGTTAAGATCGAGAATGTCCTGGACAAGACAGCCAGCCATACATATACACGATGATGTTTACATATATATTCGTATGATTCTCGTCTTTAAGCTAAGCTAATTGGCTGCAGCCTCATATATCATATATATCAAATGCACCAAACACAGTTACAGCATGACTTAATACTTCAGCAGTGTCTTGTGCGGCTGCGATGAATTCCCTCTTCTGTTTTACAAGACTGTGCTCGAGAATTACGGCCATTGTAACTGGAAAATAACTTTAAAGCAAGTCAAAGCTGCAGGAATTAGTCATACAGCAGTTTCCTTGCCAACGCATTGCAATAGCAGATTGCTTTGTTGTGTGTATATGGTCAATTAGTCTTGGTAACAGGGACTTTGGCAGCTGTGCAGTTCAGTAATGAGACCCATCAATTTAGCAATGGGCATTGTCGAAGTGGCAGTCACTTTGAGCTGCGTGCGCCCCGTGTGTGTTTGCGCGCGTGTGTGTAGCAGCTCAGGTTGCCTTGGCTCGCACTGTTCGCTGCCAGAGGGGCAGCTAGTGGTAAAGGCGCCCAGTAGGACACACACTCACACACAAACTGGCACCATATCTAAAGGGAAGTGACAGCAGTGGCAGCCAATGCGCCAGTGAGGCTCCTTCTCATTATCACTCCGTCCAAGACCTGTCTGTCTTGTCAGGAGGAAAGACTGGAGGGAGATGCCACCGCGCACACACACACACACACACACATAGAGTTTATCCGCCACTCTCTTTGAGTTGCTTTTAATCTTTAACTGTCTCTTTTCTCCTTTGTGTTCCACCTCCTTTAAATCTCCTCGATTCTCCTCGTTCCGCGTGAACTTTTTCCAGTTTCAAAAATGTTCCTCGTAACCCTGAAACTTCTTATTAGTCCCCGCACTGGTTTTCGAGACTCATTAAAACCGTGATGAAAATAAAATTACAGAACGGGGCGTGCAGAACTCGGGCTCTGAGGCAGAATGACGTCGATTATGGTTCAAGGTTGTGCTGGCGGAACAACACAAAAAGTATGCAAATTATGAAGGGAAACTTTATTCATGTAATTCTTGTGGAGGAATAAAGTAAGTGTTTAAATCTCAAGGATAACCCTGACATTTTAGATGCAGGTTTTAACTAAAAGAAAAAAAACTCTTTTGCTTGTATGCTGAATGTTAATACTCTCTCAATGTAAAGTGTCACCTGTGATTCATTTTCGAGTTTTCTCTGTCGTGCAGGAGCCTGTGGTGTCTGAGGAAGTGGAGCTAATTGTGGAAAGCCTGCTGGGAGTTTTACTGCGGACCATCCTGGAAATTAGCAACCGGCCTCAGCCTGCCGGACCTGCCATGAGACTACAGTTCCAGGATGTCACTGTATGTGTGTTTGTACTGTACGCTACGTGCCAGTCCGCCCGTGTGCCTGATATTGTAAATTGTTTTGGGACTTAACAAATCGTACAAGAGTAATTAGAGATTTCAAATTGAGTCGCTTCCGTGGCGACTCTAATTCCACCAACGTTAATAATATTAATGGCAATAATTAAGATTTATAATGCAACACAGCACGGAAGGGGGGAGGATACAGCGAGGTGGAAAATAACGAGATCATCGCCGTCACTTGGTGATGATGGAAACTCGAGGAGGTGGAAGGTTTTTACCGGTTGCCATTAGAGGTTAATAGAGGACATGTTGTAGATTTGCAGCAAAGGAAGCGCCATAATTTATAAACTTCTGTTTTTTCTCAGCGTGGTTAGGAAAGAAAAAAAATCACAGCTTTGACGAGGATCAAAAGACAAATATTTTGACCAATTCAGATCAGTTATGTTGCCATGCCTCCTACTTGACTGCCTCCTACACACATTTTAAACCTCAGTAATGCAATTAACGTAATGATTTATGGTGCCCTTAAACGCACCACAACACGAACTCTCACACAAACTTTGCCTCATACTCTCTCCTTATATGTTGTCCTGTCAGGGGGAGTTTGTGGCATGTTTGTTGGCCCTCCTGCGACAGATGAGTGACAGACATTACCAGCAGCTGCTGCAGGCGTTCAGCAACAAAGACGACCTGAGGGTAAGACTGCCACATCCATCTCCCTCCCTCCCTCCCTCCAAATCTGTTTGGGTGAGGCAGGGCTTCTGTTATGTTGATCGTGTGTGAAGGTGAATCTTAAAGTGAAACCAAAATTACAATAAATAGTAGCTGATGTATATTTTATGTCCACCCACACCATTAAAGCTGACCGCAGGCACACTGAAATAATGAAAGGAAAATAATTTTAAATGTATTCTTGATTAATTGTATCACAGTAGAATGCATTTATTTTTGTTTTTTTTCCCTACAACATTTCTACTCACTGTGGGCTCATTGTTCACGAAGTCCTGCACCTCTATGGAAACAGTACAACAAGACTTTCTGTGTAAACACTGCCTGCAGTTCACCTGAGAAGTCCCTTTGTTTTTTTGTGACATGACTGTTGGTCATAGTGGAGTCACTCATGGCTCCACAGTTGTGTGGAGCAGTGCAGAATTTTTTGTTTTTCACAGATTCCTGTTAAAGGAAATGGTTTATTTTTTGGCAAATTTAATGCAACATATAGAATTAAACCATTTTGATGTAATGTAATGATTTTAAGCTTCGATTTGGGTCACTTTGGGCAGTAAGTAGTTCAAGGAGCATCAGAAAGTTGGAAATGGGAAACGCTATCTATTTTTCCAGCGTCTTTCTATGACATATGGTGTCATTTTCCTAATTTTTTAAAGATAAAATGTTTTTCAAACCCGCTGGTGCCTTTTGGGACTCAGAGGGTTTAAACTCATTACATTTGTAGACATTTCTGAAGCATATTTTCAAACTGTGAATGTGATTATTTGTCTCTGTGTACCTAAAAAAACATATATACAGTCACACTTAACATGCATCCATTAACATTACTTCTATATATTTTATAACCTGTATATATACTACATTTTCATTCATGGCCATTCTTTTAACTGCTTTTGAATGTCTATATACGTGAAGGCATGTCAATATAAGACAATAAAGACTATGTTCTATTGTAATAGTGCAGATCTACAAGATCAGCAGGGACAGGTTAGGGAGTGAAGAGCAGGTAAGTGGAAACAGAAGAAGAGGGACGGGAGAAGTTAATGAAGGTCACTTCAGTGGGAAGAAAACAAAGTTGATTTTTAGTATGATTGTCAGACATAGTTGAAATGTTGGACAGTCTTGATAATTGAAAGTAGTTGTTTGATATCAGAGGCGTGCAGGATTCTTAGTCTTAGGCTTTGAATAAAACACAAAGTGAAATATTGGTGTGCTTATAGGGGCATGGAGTCTCCTTGTTATGTAAAGTTTGAAGTATTTCTAGCAGGAGAAGGTCTGGTGGTGAGTTTCAGGTCACATCAAGGAAAGCAGCTCCTCCTTTAGTCTCCAAAAACACATTTAAATTGTCTTCTGACTGCTCACATCTATCCTTTTAGTTTCTTTGTTGTTTTCTCCGAGTGACCCAAAAAGATCTCTTTGCAAATTTACAGCTGTGAGACAGAGTCATTAATCATTAACCTGCTTTTTTTTGCTGCTTTTCGCACTGTTTATATTGAACTGAATGGCACCTGAGCAAGCTAGATTTGAGATGGAGCTCGGAGTCGACCGTTTCAGCACCATGGAGAGAGGCACAAAATGAAGTCGCTGTGCTCCAATTTCACACTGCATACTAAACTTAAGCAGATTTTCAGTGTCTTCGCACTGTGAAAGGGACAAAATGAAGTCTAAAGAGTAACGGTGCATGCAGAAAGGAGATGGAAGAGAGAGAGGGGAAGAAAAAAAAAACTCAGGGAGGATGTTGGTGAAATGGCTACAGGAACACTTCAGAAGGTTTTGTGGAAATGTTTCAGCTCAAAAATACTGCGCAGATTGGTAATTTTACCTTGCAAATTGGGACCATTATAACAGGAACATAACTTTAAAGCAAGCTGCAGGAATTAGTCATAGAGCAGTTTCCTTGCCAACACGTTGCAGGAGCAGATTGCTTTGTACACGGTCTCTGTGTTGTTTAGTTGACACCCACATTGGATCATTTCACCTCTATATGTGTGTATTTCTTGCATCCAAAGTCCAAAAGCAGTTCTACAACAAGTATAGAATGTACTATACCATCCTTAACCTCTCTGTTCTTCCGTTGAACTCTTGTTAACACAGATATCTTTTAATGATTTGTATTAAGAGACTGAACCAGGGAGCTTTAACACACATTTAGCATTACCTGTATGTACACATTTCTCCTGAGTTTCCACCAATAACATGTCTGCCGTGTGTGTGTGATTGTGTTCCAGGACTTCCTTCTTCATATCTTCACCGTCTTCAGGATCCTGATCCGACCAGAAATGTTCCCCAAAGACTGGACTGTCATGCGATTGGTCACAAACAAGTAAGACCAAACACATGCGTGCAGAACATAAAAAACAGTAAGAAGACTGGAATGATGAAAGACAAGAAACAAACAGAAGCCTTTTCACATCGTGTGCATCTTGCAACAGGTGGCAAAAAATCTGTTTGACATAGTTTAGATTAGTGTTGTATAAAGAACATTAGCTTTCTCCTCTGAACAGCCTGTTGTGAAAGTCCTTTATTAGATCCATTTTTAAGAAGTTAGCGAAAGCCTCCCATGTTCCCAGAATGTGGATTTCAGGTTTCAGCTCAAAATACTGCCCAGATTGTTGATTTTACCACATAATCGAATATGGATAGTGTCTGTAGCTTTAAATCCAGGGTGGAGGGCTACTCCTTCCTCCCTTCTCCCCACTTCCCTGTCTCACTCTCTACTGTGCTGTCAAATAAAGGCAAAAGGGCCAAAAAATAACTTTAAACAACAACAACAAAAAAATCCAGGGTGGAAAATGGTCTAGCAATTATTAAAAAATAAATTAATAAAATAAAATAAAGGACACACTATTGTGACTACACATGTTTAATGCAATGTATTTTTTTAAAACAACAACAACAACAACAACAACAACAAAAAATGATTGTAGGCTTGTGTTTCATTTTCTCTCAAACTACCAAATCTAATGTTAAAGCTACATTTTTAAAACTACCAAAAGTCAGGAAGTTTATAAACATCTGTAAATCTTGTGTCGACGTTTGACTGACAACAGTGTATTGCAGTGGCTAATTTTGCTACAAATTATGAGCAAGTCCTTTTGGAAAGTCTGCAAACAACAGGCTGCGAACCTGAACAGCTCATTCAGAAACACAGTTTCTGATCAATGGAGAAAGGACAGATATGTTCTGGGTTTCTAGACACACTGGAAACGTGCAATTTTGTTCAAAAAGCATAATACGGCCCCTTAAATGCACTTTCTGAATCATGTACTGCTGAAGCGGGATTAGAAAAAGATGAGTAATATTTTTTTCAAAATTGCCAACATCCCCCCCAAAAAGAAGAATAAAGTTACTGTTTTTCCAAAGGTATAGGGAGTTTGATGCAGTGCTCTCGTTAAAAAATGAGCCTGAACCCAAGGCTAATGCAGTCTATCTCTCCGGAGGACGCTATCAAATGATAGATAGAAGATGTAACGCAGAAAGGTCAATGAAATGCTTTAATCCACACAGTCAGGAAGGTCTCTGTATTTAAAGTGACCACACACTGGAGTCTGTTGATGATTACACAGAATTCTCTCACATAAATGTCTATTTTGTTTCATTTAGAAAAGTATAGCTGAAAAACTTTAGGTCATAACGACATGAAAGTGCCACTTTGCTCTTTTTGTGGTTTTTGTTTTTTCCCTTTGATGTTCATATTTGTCCTTCACCGGTGTGTTTCATCGAGTTATTTCACATCGCCCTCTGACAGCGTTACTCCGCAAAAAGGGCCATTTGAATACAGTGTGAAATGTTCACGGTGATGTATTTTTCGTCCAAGGTGACACAGTAACCCTCCGCTCACCTCCTGCTTTAAGCCTCTGCCTTGTTCTTTCAGTGTCATCATCACAACCGTCCTCTACCTTTCTGACGCTCTGAGGAAAAACTTCCTCAATGACAAGTTCGACTACAAGGTAAAAGAAATGTGTCAGTATGCAGATATGTGTGTGTGTGAGGCTTGTTTGAAAATCAAAACAGCCTCTGTTCTAAAAAGGCTGCAGTGTTGGTTTATCACTTAAGCAGAGGCACATTTATAAAACAAGTTATCAATTAATTTATTTTTGCACATCGCATTTTTTACATCCAAAGCTGGCAGTGACACCGGCATGAAACAGAACTAACAGGCAGAATATAAAATTAGCCGAAAGCGGAAAAATATAAAGAGACTGAGGTCAGAAGGAAGAACACACGCTCGTTTGTTGATTTCTTTTTTGCTTCCTTAAATACTTAATATCAACATTTCCTTTCCTCAGCTCACATAATACACAATTAAATATCAAGAATCTATGGATGCTGGTGGCAACCTGTGCACTATTCTGCGTAAACTCCTCAAAATGTAACTTACAGGAGGTTGTTTTTGCTCCACATTGCTGTTTTTCCGCTGTCATTCTCAGGTGTGGGACTCGTACTTCTATCTCTCTGTAATATTCATCAACCAGCCCTGTCTTCAGCTGGAGTCCTTCTCTCCCTCCAAGAGGAAGAAGATACTGGAAAAGTAAGTGTTGTTTGTTTGCAAATGCACACACACACAAACACACACTTGGCGTTCTTCGCTGCATGTGTCGCTGCAGAGTCACATGCTTCACAAAAACAAGCCGTCCCATCCTGCTTCTGCTCTCAAAACACCCCGACACGAACTACTGAACACGCTGTTCTGTGCAGCTTCTCTCTGGGTTAGTGTGCATTTCTAACTGTGAAACATTGTCACGCAGGTACGGCGACATGAGGGTCATGATGGGCTGTGAGATCTTCAGCATGTGGCAGAATTTAGGTAACAAACGTCTCATTGCACACTGGTAACACGGACTGTTTTATTCCTGAATATGGATTATGACCCATGATAGAGGAGACTCTCTAATTTCTAACTTATTGCAACGGTTCTCCAAACGCTGTCTCTCTTCCTTTAAGGCAATAAGTACTTCTTACAGTCCAATAATAACATTCCCTAAAACATGCAATGTTTATTTATTCATGTTTATTGATTTTCTGATGCAAAAGTGGACTTCTTGAAGTCTGTGTGATGTTGCAACATCAGAGAATGTAAAGCAAAATAAACTATTTCTCCGTGCTTGAGCTGGTGGGATCTAAAAAAAAAAAAAAGTCTTTATGCCAAAGACTATTTGTCACCATGACAACCAGCTGAGTGCCCAGTCTGGCTCTGTGTGGATGCTTTTGTTCTGAGCCTGTGATGGATCAGTGCAATTTAGCTTTTTTTTATATACATTTCTGCTGTTTTTTATGTGCGTTTAAGTGTGCACGATTTGAAGTGTACTTTGAAGTCGCTTAGTTTTTATTTTGTTTGATGTTAATATGTATGCAGAGACTGTCGGCATTAAAATATATGCGCCGCGATTATTTTATTTATGTAAAAGCTGCACTTCAACCTAATTAGAGAAATCCGTGCGGCGCACTTCAACCGGATTACGAGAGCAGCTTTCATTGAGGCAAAAGTTTTCAGAGGTTGCTCCTTAGAGTTGGCCAGATTGCTTTTGCCGTAAACAATACACCGTGTCCGGAGCTAAAGTGAAAGCCCGACCTCCGTGTTGACCTCGATCTCTCCTCCAGGGGAACACAAGCTGAACTTCATCCCAGCAATGATTGGGCCGTTCCTGGAGGTGACGCTGGTGCCTCAACCTGATCTGAGGAATGTCATGATCCCCATCTTCCATGACATGATGGACTGGGAGCAGAGACGCAGTGGCAATTTCAAACAGGTATGATGCCGCTGTAAATGCAGAAATAGATTCCTTGTATTTAATCAAATGAGCCATATTGGTATCAGTGGTTTTCCTTCATACTAATTAATTGAACTTGTTTGATTTTGAGTGTTTCTGTCACAAGCATTAATTAATTTTAATACAGATTGAAGTGTTTATCAGCTGAGCTACTAAGCTTCTTAGTTTGGGCAAGAATTAATCCACAGCTACAGGAATGTTAACCGGCAACGTGTATCCAGCTACAGAGTGTGTTAATTTGATCAGAGCATCAGAAGCTGTTCCACATAATCTCAATTTCAGCTTTTTTGAAGTCCAGAACAAACGTATCAAATGTAAAGTTGTGTTGCTGTGCATTTAAACCTCTGAACCTCCAGCAGCTTTTGACTCCTGTCACGTTTTTACTCGCTGTGGGCTCTTTTTTGTTTATTTATTTATTTATTTTTAATTGCAATCTAGTTGTTGACCTCTCTGAGAACAGCACAGCAATTTAAAAAAAAAAAAAAAGACAGTCTAGTGCAAATGTTTATTTTGACAGATTTTCAAATGAGACATGCAAGAAGTTTCATCTTGTCTTTTCTTATGTAGAATAAAGTGATTTAGATAAAATATCATGATTTTAAGCAGAGATTTATTTACATTTTCCTTTGGAACTGTCACAGAACCAAAGTTAAAAAAAATCAGTCGGTCTTTGATTGACTGCTCCTGACTCTGATAATAATAGAAGATAGAATTTTGCCAGTGCTTGTTTTGTTTTCTTTGAAGAGGAAAGATGACTTTTAACCACTGATCCTGTTTCATTCGTCTGTTAAACTTTTAACATCTTGTAAATTAGGTTATGACAGTTAATGGTGAACCACAAAAAAAGTACAATAACACATTCAAAGATTGTGTTTGCATGTGCGCCAGTATCCTCAATCAGGTTTTGATCGTACTTGGAATATGATGGTTACCTGGAGCACCAAGAAATCAGATTCATATTCTTATATGATGGTAAATACTAACATCCTGGTTGCTGATTACTGGTTTCTATTTGCGCACAAACTGCCAATTTAACGTGGCATTCCTGTAGATTAGTCGACTGTCAGCGCCATCGTATCTTCTCCTCATGAGGCCAGTTGCAAACTGCAAACGAGGGATGAAGATACTCAGCTGTGACCGGTGGGTTAGAGTTGTCATGATGGAGTTCAGTGACCCCAAATGAAAAAGAAAAATCTATAAGACTTCCTCCATGTGACACAGTTGATTGGTTCATGAGACCAGAGGAAACAACACTACAAGCACCAGTTATGTTTTCCATTAGAGGGACCAGAGTGTTGGTTTAGTATTTTTTCAGCCCGAAACTAAAATAAGTTGAATTTTTGATCCTGGTTTGTACAGAAGTAATCTGGTTTCACAATCTGGTGTAAGTTCTCATCGGCATACAGTGTTTCAATGCACAACCACAAATACAGAATGCTTCAAAAACCCAGTCATGAATTCACGATCAAATCACAGCATTGTCAGAGAAAATTGCCTTTTTTTTTCTCTTTTCAGCGTGACTGACAGACCTCTTAAGGTTTAAGCTCTCGACCGTATGTGCTGCTCTTTCTCCCTGTATTTTTATCAAAATTGTTTGAGCTTTAAGTGCTTTTTCCCTCTCAGGTGGAGGCCAAGCTGATTGACAAGCTGGACAGCCTGATGTCTGAGGGCAAAGGAGACGAGACGTACAGGGAGCTCTTCAACAGCATGTGAGTTAAGGGAAGAATCAGAGGACACAAAGACGCGCAAGCGCGTGGGTCCATGTTTGTACAATACGATACGACATACTTTATTACTTCACAGCCGCCTCGGTAGCAAATCGCAACCTTAAATAACACATACTGCACATTACAGCACACAGCTAGTGCGAAACAAGTGATAAATCCACTGCAGAGCCCACACAGCCTCTATTTACCTACATTTTTCTGCAAGATTCCCCACCTTCCCCCTTCAAAAAAATGAATGCAGTCAGGTCTCGCGGGTAGGTTAAACAACCTAACTAATAAAGCCACTTAAAGTAAACAGTGAATTCACAACAAAGCCCTTCGTGGACCGAGGCCAGCTCAGGACACTTCCAGCGAAAGACAAAATAGCTGTTTATCGAGTCTAATGACCTAAATGATGCGACCCGCACAAGGCTCCATCGGGTAAATGTCTGTGTGGGCTGCAATTTGCAGGTCGTTTGCCTGAGTCAATGCCGGTTTTTATCTGCGAGCGGATGTGTTTAAGTATTCCGCGTTTGGAAATTAGCTTTTAACCCTGAAAACCGCCGAGCACAGATAACAGCATTGTGATTCAGATAAGGCCTCCTTCGCCTCAATAACGAACCGGCAAATGCGTCGGGGTTGCTTTCGGAAATAAGAAAAGTGGTTTTTGAAATTGAAAGTTTCACCTCTACTTTCAATTTCGCAAACTTGTCATTAGAAACAGGGGTTGCTCTGTGTTTGAAATTGTTTCTATCAAGTGGATTGATTTTGAAAAAAACAAAAAAAAACAAAACAAGGTAAGTGATGAGTATTCAGTCACCTTCATGTTCACTCACACCTCCTCTGCGGCCGGTTCTTGTTCATTTCGTCCTTGTGCTCCTGCATGCTTCGTGTTCGCACATGTGTGTGTGCTCCTTGCTTCTTTTGTGCCCGTTTTTGTCGCCCTTCACTGTAGCCTACTAATAATTGGACTTTAAATAAAACACTACATTTCAACTTACTGTCAAAGAACATTGTTGCATTAAAAGATTCACATACGCGCTGTATGTCTCCTCTACTATCACATAGATGTGAATCAGTGTTAAGTATTTTCTGAATATGCATCTGCTTTAATTGTCCCTTCTGTCTTTCATAGTTAATCATTCTTTCCTGCCATTTTTATATGTGCAACATTACAGAATATAGCGTTACATCGCTGCATATTATTAAAGCTTTATCTACAGTATGTTGTGCAATACAATGTAATTATGCATTAGAGATAATTATTATTATTATTAATGTAGACTATATGCTGTTTACTGCAATTTAATTTGTCTATGATTTCAGCTGACTTTAATTTCTTCCTTAATTTATTGTTCTGTTTTGCCTCCTTCTAACTCCACTAACCCCTTAAACTAACCCGTGTGAGTGTGTGCTGATATTAATCATATTAATATTAATTTATTCCGCCTATGCTTCCCGCCTGGAGTAGAATTCCTCTGTTTGGTCCGTACCCTAGGTAAGATGCTCTCCTCTTTGTTCTCTCAGTGTCGTCTGTGTGAGGGGAACGGGGATTATTTCAGCCAAAAATATAAAAAAAACAACAACTATCATATGTTTGTCCTCTTTACCATCCAGCTGAGATAAGCAATCAATCCTAAAAATCTATTAAGGTGGCAAAACAGTGAATCAGTTATTGTGAGTTTCCTTTTTTTTTTTCTTTCTTGAAGCCACCTTTACTTGAACTCCCACAGGCAGGCCAACAAGCATAGGTGACACCGGTGTGACTGATTTCCTCTTTGCTTTGCCTCCTTTCCTTTCTTAGCAATTTCCTCCATCGCTGTTCCCCTTCCCATTTCCTCTCTTTTACCTCTTGTCTCCTTCGGTCTTTACATCTCTCTGTCTTGTTCTGTCTCCCTTCGTTTGTCCTTCAGCCTGCTGAAGAAGATTGAGAGGGAGACCTGGAGGGAGAGCGGCATCTCTCTGATCGCTACCGTCACTCGCCTAATGGAGAGGCTGCTGGACTATAGGTGAGAGTTCACACACATATGCTCTCCGAAACACTCACTCACGACTTCTTTTTAACCCTTTTAAGTCATGCATGTTTTAACTTTGTGCTTCTACTACAGGGATTGTATGAAGTTGGGAGAAGTGGACGGCAAAAAGATTGGATGTACTGTCAGTCTGCTGGTGAGGAGCAGTTACTTCCTGTGTCTGGTTCAGATTCCTTAATGTATCTCAGCTTTTGGCTTGTGTAAAGGATTTTAGAAAGCAAACTGTTCAACAGAATTACCGACTTGTGCATCCTGTTGACGAGATTAGAACACGTTTACCTTTTCATCTGCTTTTTACAATTTTTTTGTCAGTTGAAATGTATGAGTTTTGATGAGATGATCAATACCTCTCTCACATCTGTCCTATTAATTATAAAGCTGTAGCTAGCAGCCAGCTAGCTTAGCATAAAGACTAGAATTAGGTACAGTTCTAACCTGGCCTTGTCCAAATGTCAAATAGATTTTTTTTTTAAAAACACCTCGAAATTCCAACAATTAGTAGGTTACACACATATTAAACATTTTGAAACTTTATGCTAAGCTAAGCTAACCTAGTCCTGGATGTAGCTGTATGTAGAACACACAGGTATGTGAGTGCTACAGATGTTTTCCAATAACTTTAAGGCATAAAAAGGAAATAAGTGTGTTGCCCAAAGTCTAAAACTATTCATTCAATGTTTGCATTAAGTTAAAGACTGTCTGTCAAAGTCAAAGCATTACATTCTATTAAATATTTTATCCGTCTTCATTTGTACTAATGACAAGAAAATCCGACGGCCCTCACAAATCATTTATATACGTCAATATTTCTCAATGTAGACAGCTATACCGAGAGATTTACACTTTTTAGATTAAAAAAATAAAGAAATTGACAGCAGTACATTGTAAAAGATAAACAGTTTGAGGAACACTTTTATCATCTGCTGCTACTACAAACCCTGTGAAGTTTTATTTATATACAACAGATACAATAGCGAGTGAATATCTTCTGTTCAGCCTATGTTTTACCTAAATGCTGCTTCATATACTTGTGTATTTTGAATTCTCTCTGATCAGCAGAATGAACATATAAGGGATTCTTTATGTAACTGCGACCATCTGCAGGAGCACCTGGGTGTGTAGGCAGATGGATCAAAAAGTCCCTGCAAATCGGCATCTGAAAAATACTGTTGCACTTTTAGCCCAGAACAGTCTGTCACTTCTAGATTTTGTGCTCATTTACATCTCTAAACTCACTCTCACCCCTGTTTACCTCTCTCTCTCTCTCTCTCTCTCTCTCTCTCTCTCTCTCTCTCATTTTATAAATTAATTTTGTTGTCCTCAAACCTCACCCAACCACCCACTCCTCCCGCCAGAACTTCTACAAAACTGAGCTGAACAAAGAGGAAATGTACATCCGCTACATCCACAAACTGTACGACCTGCACTTGAAGGCTCAAAACTACACAGGTACGCCTGAAGGAATGACCTTGACATTACAGTATGTGAGCGTTTGCATGCGTGGGCGATACATTGCTGCATGCTGCGTACATGTATTCTGAATGTATTGTGTTCTAGACTGTTCCAATGAGTCATATGTGCTATTTGAGAGACTGAATCCTTCGTGTTGTTCCCAAAAAAAGGCATAAACTGCTGCTTTTAGCTGACTTTGCTCTCTTGTGTGGGTTTGTGTGTGTGTCACAGAGGCGTCCTACACCCTGCTGCTGTATGACGAGTTACTGGAATGGTCGGACAGGCCGCTCAGAGAGTTCCTCAACTACCCCATGCAAAGCGAATGGCAGAGAAAAGAGTATTTGCATCTCACTATCGTCCAAAACTTCGACAGGGGGAAGGTAAGCTGGAACAAGTTTTTCCTCACTTTCTTCCTTCCTTCCGCTACCTTTGCATTTCATTGTTGTTAAACAGAAACAGAAATACCTCTCTCCTCTACACTGGGCCAAAATAAATCAGATCAGCTCTCTTTTTAGTGATTCCAACTGGGAGAAACTGTACATATGAGCCCAAATCCCAGCAGGACGAGTGGCTTCTTAACACTGAATGTACTGTACCAGTGAGACGGAACAGCGTGTTCATTTTTATTGAGAATATATTTTGCCAAACACCCAGCAGCATGTCAGCTACTCATGCATATTCTATTACATACCTGCCAATGAAAAACGAAGCATATTATTAACACATCATGTAGAGTAAATACATTTTAAAGAGATCAGCTGAAATGCACCAGGACGGTGGAAGGTGGGAGAACTTGCAGATTGTTTGACATCATCCGCATGAAATGAAACCCCCCTCCTTTAGAGGAAGGCTGGAAGCTGTATAGAGTTAATTTCTACCTGTCATGAACTGTGACAGCAGCTCGAGGCGTCAGCACCTCCTCGGTTTAATCAGACGGATTGCTCGTGGCTGTAATTACAGCGGGATCCATATTGTCCCACAATATTCTGCACCATTCCTCTAAGAAATATTGCAGGGGGATGATGACGCCAAAACTGGCAGGTGAAGCGTGACGTGCATTGATGCCGCTTCCCTCAGCGGCGAATCAGCAAGTGAGACTGGCAGCTTAAACAGCTGATTCAGAATGCAGCGTCATTTGGGAGAAAAACTTCCCCGACTGGGCTTTGTTTTTCTTTCTCATGAATTACGTTCCATTTTCCTCCCACTGCTCTTTTCTTCCAATTTTATCTCTTTATCCTAACTACCCTTGCCATTGTTCTGCACTCTCAGGGGAAAGTGGCATTATGGAAAACCTACAAAATTGCACTCACTCAAAAAAAAAGAAGAAGAGCTTTACCATTCCTTGATGAAATAACATAGCTCTGCGGAATCGTTAAAACTGCTCCCCTCGTTACTCATAGTCCAATTTTCCTTCTCATTCACGAGCTATGCCATCTGCCAGCGCTGCCGCACGGGGATTAGAAGGCAGCAGGAAAGGAAAGCTTTTCATTTAATTAGCAAGATGGTTGGGTGTTGCATGCACCTACGTGAAGAGGCTGGATTCGACTCCTGAGATTGTCGACTCGCCAGTGCCATCCAGTGGAGCACGGCGGCTCAGCAGCGCCACTGCAGAGCAAGTGACTCAGTTTTATGGCGGTTTCTGCCCAGCCAATTCCCCATAATGGTGTTTTGAGACGGGACACAGTGAACTTGGTGGTGAATAAGTGGCTGTTTTTGTGTGTGTGTGTGTGTGTGTGTGTGTCCTCAGTGTTGGGAGAATGGCATCATCCTTTGCAGGGAACTTGCCGACCAGTATGAGTCCTACTACGACTACAGGAACTTGAGCAAAATGAGGGTAAGTTGTGCCCATTGTCAATGGATTAATAGGACTGTTTGTTAAAGTCTTGCTTTCACCATCAACTCATTCAGGAAACTAGCTGAAAAAAACTATTTTATTCTATTGTGCTTAAACATATCTATGCTTTTGTTGATGCACAATCCACCACATGGTTTATTTTCACCACTTTTCTTGATTTTCATTGCCAGATGATGGAAGCTTCTCTCTATGACAAGATCATGGACCAGCAAAGACTAGAACCGGAATTCTTCAGAGTTGGTTTCTATGGGAAGAAGTTTCCTTTCTTCTTACGGGTAAAAAAAAAATCTCCATATTTTTCTGTCTCTTGAATAGCGAGTTGAAGCGAGTAATGCTTTTACCCTCTTCAACAAAGAAAGAGACCTGCAGGAAGAATTAACTTTTCTTATGTAAGACTCCTCCAGTGTAAGGTGACATTCAGCAACTCTTGTTCGGTGCCATTTAATGATGTAACAGGCCCTGTCCTTGGTGGAGTTTGCAGATCGGGCTGCAGTCACAGCCCACGACCACTAGATGTCAAGCTAACCCCGCGCTGTCTCTCCCCTTCCCACCACTGCAGAATAAGGAGTTTGTGTGCCGCGGCCATGACTACGAGAGGCTGGAGGCTTTCCAGCAGCGGATGCTCAACGAGTTCCCCCACGCCATCGCCATGCAGCACGTCAACCAGCCCGACCAGACCATATACCAGGCAGACGCACAGTGTATCCTTGACTGTAGGGAGAGGCACATGCAAAATTCATCCACACAAGCCCGGACACATGTGCGCGCATGCTGAGCAGACAGTCAAACGTGTGGAAATGTACACAAACTGAACGCACAGTAAGCATGCATATGTACGCATATGCACAAGAACTTACGCACACAGCATGCGTTGTGTATCCCTGCACTCTAATGAGGCTATCACACACTGTGCCTCGCTTCTTCTTGCAGCCTTTTTTTTCTTTTTTTATTATCAAAGGCCCATTCACAGGAGTCCACGCAAACATCCTGCGCTGCAAATTGTGTACAGTGTACAGAAAGTCATACAAATAGCGATCAAACACGCCACGGTTTTGCATGCGTTTAAAAACAACGCCGAAGGGCCAATGTCTCACTGGGCGCAATTAGTTTTCAACATTCTAGGTACGCTACCTTCTGATATGCGCTGAGTTTTGGAACAATATGCAGTCTGACAGAAAAACAGCAGATGCTACTTGGGATTATTCATTTACAGTTACAGCTCATATTCTCCCAATTAAGGTGCTGGAAATTAAACATCACTCAAAGATGCTTTCTTTGAAGTAAATAGTTATTTCATTATAATAAATATGACTTTAAATGTTGTCACTCTGTTAACCGTCTGAACCCCGAGAGTCTTAGCCAGGTTTGAAAGGCATGTTGTCTTTAAATATTGCCAAAATTAGATGGTTTATCAGTGACAGAAATTATTTAAAAACAGAAAAAATTGCCAGATTTTCATCTTTTTGACGTTCTTTGTACTACTCATCTGTGACACATTGTTCCTTTGGGAAAATTACCCCAATCCGTGCCTGAAGTCGACCTATTGTTTGCTCTTTTTAGATTCTGTAAAAAATTCTGCTCCCCTTGCTGCAACCATTAATCCTCTGGTGCCTTAGCTGTGACCACATTAAAAAAACAAACTGCCAAACTGGGTTGAACTGCAGGCTGTGTTTCCACAAAGCAGGCAGGAGACAAACAAATTAAAAATCTAAGTAGTAAAATAAGTCACCATTTTTTTCCATTATTAAAACACATGTAAATAAATACATTTACATGTAAGTAATCAAAGAAATTTGACTTTTTTTTCTCCTTATTTTGATTGACATATAGTTGTGACTCGATAATCCGACACTAAATGTAAAACCTTCTTTTATGTCAGATAGCAAGGCTGTCGGATTATCAAGACAGAGGTCGAGATACAAGGAGGGCTTGATGCTTTAATTATTGTTTATAGTTGTTATAATAACTAGTAGGGCTGGTCCGAACAGCACTTTACGGTCTCTGGATATTCAGGCCCAGGTCGTATGAAGTTCAGTCAGCAGATTGTATGCAAGTCGTATTTAATTGGAAATGTGAACGAACTCGCAAAAAGATCGGATTTCACAAAAAAATCCAAATTAAGCATTAAGTCCTGTAGTCTGAATGTCGCCAATCTGTCGGATTGTTAAATCAGAAAATACGCCGTTACCCCTATTTGTGACATAAAGCATTATGTCGGAGTCAGAATCCAAGGCTGTCGGTATGTTAAGGCTATTTTTCATGGGTTCCGTTCGTTTTCCCTAAAAACCTGTCGGATAGCAAGGTTTTCGGATTGTTAAGGGTCTGATTATCGAATCACGACTGTAGCTTGTAGCACAAAAGACATTTTCGAGTTCCCTCTGCTTCTAGCTGTTTTCCATGGAGGTGCAGGAGTTTTTATTGCAGTGACAAATGAGCCCATAATGGGTAAAAATGTGACCTAAGGTTAGGGTTCAGAGGATTATTAACACCATAACTCACAAAACCTTTCTAATTTTTTGCCACCTTACTAACACAACTAAATTATTCATCGCTGGATACGAGCTCATTGAACAGCAAATACCTAAACGGACCACCTATTGTGAGATATCGAAGTAAAACCTGAACCACCAGGACTCTCAGTCAAATAACGGTTCGCATACTTTGCTTTTTTTTTTTTGCATACGGAACACAAACCTGCACCTTTACTGTACATAAATCGCATCAAGAAGCTCTCTTCATTTCCATGCAGCGTTCAAGCTCATTCGCACAATGTGGGCCTTTTTAATTATTCACACCGATGTATGGGACAACTGTTGGCCTACATAGAAGAGGAAAGAAAAAAAAAAAGAAAAGGCAAACACAGTGACGCAGGTTTGGGGCTTGAGAGACACGTTTAAGTTGTTATAAAAGGTTTCGCGTGCGTGCGATTATGCCTGCGCGTGCAAAACGACACCAATCGTCTGCATAAATTAACGCACTGCTGTGTTCTTCTCACATCGTGCCAATCAATGGAGTCGCTCTCAGACTGCTCACCCATCTGTATATCCTTGTCACAAACACTCATGCATATGAATTCATGTGTGTTCGCCGTTCTGTCGCTGATAAAGTTGCTCGTCACCGCGGGGTTCCTCATAATGAAGGTGAGTAGAGAGAGAGACATCGAATCGCTTCCTGCTCTTCTGTCTTCCTCCACTGCTCACGCTGACAAGGCTTTTCTCTTTTTTTTTTGCCCCTACATACAAGCTTGAAGTAAAACTTGACAAGTCCTTTTTTTTTTTTCTTTAGTGGTTGTTTTGCTGTGTTGTTCCACTAAGTCTTCTTTTGTGGTCTGAGTGCAGCGATGCAACCTTGTGGGAGTTTTTCTATAAGAGTATCAAGATGCAGGTCAAACCATTTGAAAGATAATATTCTTAGTTATGCTGATTTTTGTTACCATTTGTTTTCTTGAGGTTTGGTTTTCTGTGGCTCCAGTCTCGGTGTTGTGTTGTTTGTTTCCCCCCCATGCAGGATATTGTTTTTTTGTGGGATTTAAACAAGTGTGTGGTTGTTAAAGGGTATTAGAGGAGACATGTGCTGTACCTAAAGTGCACACACACTTGACTGTGTTGTTAAACCCCCGGCTCGTGTGTGTGTCCTTGTTACCAACACATCTCCACGTTTCCATTTTCTTTCAGGTCAACGAGAAAGCGTTGTCCGTTTCAGCCTTATCCCTTGTCGCTCTCTTGCACTTTCCTTAACTTCCGGCGCTTTCAGACCTGCAGATCTACGCCGTAACCCCCATCCCAGAGAGCCAGGACGTGCTGCAGAGAGACGGAGTGCCCGACAACATCAAAAGCTTCTACAAGTTTAATCACATCTGGAGGTTCAGATACGACCGACCTTTTCACAAGGGCACCAAAGACAAGGAGAACGAGTTCAAGGTACAGGAAAGAAAACACGCTCGCCGCACACCGAGGCTGCTTGTTGTCATCTGCTGATTGGTCAATTTGAGTTGTGAAAATAGGAAACGCACTTATAGCCTATGACTCCGTGTGGATTAACTGCAAACTGTCATGTGCCATGAAAGTTTTTTATGCATATTTCAGAAGTTAAAATAATACATTCATGGACATTAACATTATTCACCCAAGACTGATGTGAAACAGATTCATTTGCTTCTTTTCTTTACTCGTTCATCCATCACGATCTGTAGGTACTGATAGTTTAAACCAGGTGTTGGTCTGTGTATAGTGCATGTTTTATTCATTATGACTCAGTTATTATGCACAGAAACACGAGTCTCACTCAAATGGAGTCTTTACAGCCTGATTTGGCAGCACGCGTCCACACTCAAAACACATACGCAGCAACCAAGCGCACAGTCGCTGATATTATTCTCCTAAATATTCAGTTTCAATACACACACACACACACACACACACACACGCTTCATGCAGTCTTCTCATCTCGGTTCCATCAAGGCTATTTGGCTAAATTTAATCACGATATTGCATTTCCATCAGGCCTGGATATCTGTGGCCCTCAGGTGGGAATAATACGTGCGATACACTTTTGAGTGTGCAGCAACCGGAGTGTACCGGTAATAAAGTGGTAAAGAGAGCTGTTACCAAAATTCAACAAAGTTTGTACCTGCAGGGGGAAAAAAAAAAAGTAGTTAGCAGAAAGGTCAGCACTTTTATTTATGTCAGATTTTGCTTTCAACTTCTTATTCTTAAACTGTAATACATGTTTTATTTTTTTTATTATTTTTATTTTTTTGAAAAGGTGCTGTGGTGGGCTTCTTGGCCTTAAAAAGCATGAAATCAATAAAGGGCAGCTGGATTGTGTAGTGAGTCGGAAGTACCTTCTTCAACCTGAGGACACTGGATCGATACTGCATCAGCAAGGCACCGGGTTCCAAACTAAAAAAAAAAAAACTTAAAATAAATTAAGCTGTACTGTATGAGCACCTTGAAAAGTCCTTGAAAATCAAAACTGGGGGAAAAAACATAGCCTAAGCAAAAGAAAAACAGAGATCGGTTGCTAAGCTAATTAGCATTTTCCAATACTTTAGTGACACTGCTAATGAAATTGCCTCCATCTTTAGCCGTGTTTAGTTTAGCCTTGATTAGCATGCTGACACATAAACCCTCTAAACCCGTAAAGCCACCAGTAGGATTGAAAGTTTTCTTTTTAAAGAATCACCAAAATGGCACAATTTCTCAGAGACAGAAATTGTAAAAGCAGAAAGAATTGTGAGATTTTTAACTCTCCGACCGTCCTTGAGCTGCTTATCTTTGATGTGTCATTCTGCTGGAAAACAAATCTAAGAGTGCTTCTGAACAATTACTACATCGTTATGCACGTCTTATTTAAAAAACTGCCAAAAATAAACCGGTTTTTTTTTTCCCTGTAAAAAACAAAATGTTCTGCGCTCCTCTGTGCAACGGTGAAGCCATTCATGAGTCAGCTG